TTCTGAAGCAGAATTGGGTAAATGCCATCGTTCCCTGGAGATTTAAAGGGAAGAAATACATCAAGGGCCGCTTTAGCCTTTTCAAATTCACAATTGTCTTAGCAAAATCCAGATCTAATGGATTATGAAGTAGTTCCAATGGATTTTCCTGGGGGTCAGAGGTGACACTTTGTCCCCCAGATGAAAATTCTACATGGTCGAAAGTGTATCCAAGGGTTTATAGTATAACTGCCATCAGGTCGCATAACCGATGAGAGTTGAGACTCCTGAGATCTTTTAAGAATCTCTATATACTCTGGCAGTCTCATGGTAGGACAGAATATCTGTGCAGAAGAACGATCTCCATGAGTTGTATTTAGTTTTCCTGATTTCACTTTTAAATTTCCTTTGTAGAATTTTGAAGTTAGACCAGTTAACTTCAGATTTATTTCCTGTGAGCTCTCCGAACCTCTAAGCGCAGGCTTTCAAGCTCCTTGGTCCCCCAAACTCTCTTGCTAGGAGAGCACTTCCTTCGTTTGAGAGGGCATGATGCATGATAAGATTCAATAATGATATTTGTCAAATTGTTTGCTTGAGTATCAAGCTCCTCGACTGTACAATTATTGTCTAAAACCTGAAGGTTAATGACATTAGAAACCAGGAAGTCCTTATAAAGGTCCCAATTTGTGTTTTTAATGTTTCTGAAATATTCAGCTGGAATTTCATCTCTAATACAAAATTGTATAAGGCGATGGTCAGAAAGTGAGGGATTGTCACATGCCAATTCTCAATAAGGTTATAAATATCAGAAGTTAATGTGAGGTCAATGACTTCTTCTCTTCTTCTGTTAACAAAGGTGGGGCGATTTCCCCTGTTTACCCAAGTTAGGTTGGTATTCATTATAAGTTCCATGAGTTTTTCTCCTCTAGGATTAGTATCAGAACTGCCCCATGACAGGTGGTGAGCGTTAACATCACCACCAATAACCATAGGAATATTGTTTATTTCACAGAAACTCACAAGATCTATAAATTCTTGCGGAATGTTAAGGTCATAAGCCATGTAAACCGAGCAAAAACAAATGTTTTCCTCTCAGTGAACTGTTTATGTCCTTAATTAAAATAGCAGTTAAGTCCTCTGATGTAAATTGGGATAATTTCATAGCCTTTATATTTTTAGAAATGTAAATGCTAGTTCTAGGTCTTTTATCAGGTCCCTCTGTCGAAAAGAAGTGCGCGTTCATGGGCCTACCAAGGATTTTACCCCTGTACACCCAAGGTTCTTGAATTAAGGCAACAAAAGTGCCTTGCTTACATAATTGAGCAGCTAAATTGTATGAAGCTGCTCTGTTATGTTGCAGGTTTAACTGACTAACCTTAACCATTAAAACAGGTTAAATTAGAGAAAAGAACTTACCCTGAAGGATTTTAGGAGACTTAGTTAAAAGCCGCATCCTTAGCATACTACTTCAAAGGAAGTAGTGACAGGGGAAAACTATTCAGATGTCTTCTCCAGAGCCTCCAAAGAAAGCTCTGGTTCCGACTCCTTTTCGGTCTCCCTTCTTCCGTCAACTGTTTCTTTCGGAGGATCCTTGGGCGGAGGAATTCATTTCTCCTGTTGCCTTGGTTCCTTCAGCTGTACACAGCCACGGGCACCACAAAAAAGTTTGAAATTCTGGGCCTCCAGATAATCCATAAGCTCAGGTTCCACTCCCAGCACCAGGGTATTACCTCCGTCTCCAGGGATAACTGCCTTGATGGCGATCTTCTTAACATCCAGGCCCTTGTTACAGGCATCAAGGAGCTTGATGTTATCTTTTGGTGACCTGTTACCAGGAAACCAAGCGAAAAACCTCTTCATGGGGGGGTCTGTCCCCGGGAGCCATGGCATGATAACCTGGATGGATTTTCTTCAGGGCCAGTAGATCATTAATTAAAGTCTTTAGGACGTCCACAGTCTCCTGGTCCTCACATGCAATGTTGAGGCCATTCGGCTGCAGGACTGTCTTGTGGACCCTGCAGGTGGTGATAGAACCATCGATAATTCGGTCATCAATTATAGAAGTGATGAATGAATCCTGAATCCACCGATGTTATGTCTCTGGAGTCATCCTTGCAGACGATTCGCAGAGTAATTGCCTTTCTCACAGCTTGACTATAATAGCCATCGTTTCTTGAGGGCCATTTCCGGGGTGTCACCAGCAATGCGTTCTCTCTTACGAGAACTCTTCATTGCTTGGATGGTTCTCTCCTCACCGGTTTGGAGGTCGCTCCAGAGGTCCCAGCTTTATCTGTTTTCTCTCTTCGCTCCCTTCTCCCCAGAGATCGAGATCCCTTCCATTGGCCCTCTCCAGCCGTTTCCACTCCTTCTGGCGTTGCCTCTTTTCTCTTCTTTTATTTAAAACCTCTGTCATTGGTGACTGGTCATCCATCCGCTTGCGCATCTGGCACAGTTACTTCTGACAGAGGAGTCAGTATCCATCCCCACTGGGTTCAAGGCGTCCGTGTCCGAAGGCACATTCACCCTTTCACCAGCGGTTCTGGTTTCTGTAGTCCTGAAGAGAAGAGCGTCCGCACCCGAGGGCACATTCACTCTCTCAGAAGGAACTACAGTGGTTATAGTGGGGATTTCAGAAGATGCGTTTTTATCTAATTTTGTATTGCAAGCATCCATTTTGGTATAAGATTGAAAGAAGGGGGAGAAAAATTCCTTCCGATTTTCTAAGAGCCAGTTTGGAGGGGCTAGCCCCAGATTCAGCAGCCAGTAGTGACCTCGGAAGAGCCCCCCGCTCTGCCATGCAGGACCCCACCCAGGCACCACCTGGAACTACAAGGCAGGCGAGATTATACACCAGCTGATAGAGCAGCCAGGACATGCTGGTTAGGCTGCCCCGGGGTCCTGTACTATCTGGCGGCCTGAGACGCAAAACTCAGCTTTTCTCCTGTATCCTCTACATGGCTGCTTCCTCCAAGACCCCTCCTCTCCAGATCAAAGGTCCTCGGAATTTGAAATCCTCGCCACAATCGCCGGTTTTCCCAGGGAAGAGCGGTCCGTTGGGTCGTCATAAGATTACTCATCATCAGACCGAACCTCATCCCACTAAACCCCAGTATGCCACAGGACTTTGTGACAGTTACCCATTTAGCACCACCCAGGGGGCACGTGTGACTTAAGGATAATCACGGACGCGGGTAACATTACCCCCCAGTTCCTCTACAAGAATCACTAACAGAAATTTGGCAGCATTTCCACCCATTTTCACGGTTGACAGGATATTACGCAAGTACTGCAGTATGTTTCAGTGAAGAAATTGAAACAGCCACAAAATATAATAAACGCTATTCGAATATTAATGGATAAACTTTACTCTTATAAAAAAGAAACGGAACAATATATATAATATATCTTATAAAAAAGAAACGGAAGAAGTTTTAAGTTATAAAATGAAAACAGGAGTTCAGAATAAATGTTTAAATTAAAAATAAAAATGCTGGAAATTTAATAAAGTTTACAAAATCATGGTAAATTTATACAGAAATCCTATACTCTGCTCAATTTATGTCCCTTATAATTTCTAGAAATTTGTTGAATACATCAATATTTTGCTCCCTTCAAAGAAAATGACACTTTGCGACAGGGTTGCCGAAGTGGAGTATTCTAGAATTTACTGGGTTACCAGAAAAACAACCGTCCAAAAAGTGCGCCAAGCCAAAAATCGCCAATGGGGCCCCTATACTCAAGTTGTACCAAAGAAACATTTATTTACTCCTTTTTTTTAAGCCTCAGGTTCTTAGTATACCATTTGAACTAAACCTACAACCATGAACTAGCAAGTCTGCTCTAGAAACAGGGCTTAAAAATTTAAAACCCTGCTCCACAGAACATCCCAGCTGTTTTTTTTCTCCTTAAAATACCAAACTAAATACCCTGAAGTAGCATTTTCCTGTGGTAAGAGATAACAAATCATTTACACCCGTATTCACCAACTCTTTAACTCATGAATTTTCGTCTTAACCAGTGCGTCAGAGCGAAATCGGTATTCTCCAACCACAAAACCGTGCGTTATACTTGCATCTGAGCGTCGGATCCTGATTCACCGATGGTGGTGGATTATTACACTGGTTAATGTTAAGCATGCGCAGAACGATGCTAAGATGAAAACTTTGTAAAGATGGATGCCGTGGGTGATTTGTTGATGTTAGAAGAGCTGCAGTCATTTGAAAGGAGATCACGACTGGTAGTAACAAACAGAGATTGTGATCTCGATGTTTTAGATGATATAGATTTTCGTCGGCGGTACCGTTTGAATAAAACAACGGTATCGCATATAATTGATATTCTAAGTGAAGATTTGACCTGCAGTGCTAAGAACAACTATTTAACTCCTGCCGAAAAAGTGTGTATTGCCCTAAGGTTTTATGCTTGTGGAACCTTTCAATTAGTTCTTGGCGATCTAAGTTCGGTCAGTCAACCGTCGGCTTGCAGGGCAATAAATCAGGTATCACAATGTCTTGCGAAGCTATGCCCTCAGTATATCAGATTGCCTGATACAGAGCACGAAAGACGAGAAGTAAAATATGACTCTTCATTATAACATTTATTGTACACTATTAACATATATAATATTATAGAATATATTATTATCGTGTACTTGAGACGTCAAATATATGTAGAAAATTTTGTGTAATAGTACAGTTTATCACAAGAAAAATACAATTTTCAGTACAAATAAAATTGTCAGTACGTTCTTGTAAGACAGGGATATAAATTATGCTGAAGCCTTTATAAAAGATATATTTTGTCAAATACCCTTTGCATGCAATGATGAGCATTGGAAATTAACAGAAGAATTTCAGTAATTTCTTGAATGTAATTTTGATGTCAGATTTTCAGAAAATTCAGTGGGAATTTTTTTCTTTTACATAGATGCACATAAATTTTGTAACAAAAATGGATTTTTAACTTCACGCTTCATTAGTTGGTGACATATCTTGCTTGATTAGTGATTCAATCTTGGGGGCCATTATAATAAGGATGTTCCAAAAAATTATGTTCAAATCAAATTGTGAAAAGAAATTATGGTTGCGCATTATCTGCCCAACTTATCCGCAGAGTCAGCAGTTGTTGATTAATTTTTCACCAGCCTAGCATATGAAAAACCTAGCCTATGGAGTCAACTCCTATTTCCAGCAATTATATATGTTATGGCTCATAAAACTAAAAAGTAGCCATTTAAAAAAATGGTGGTGTGTTAAAAATGACATAAAACAGCAACGAATTAACAAAATTAAATACATAAAAAACATCCTGTAATAAAATTACGTAAATCAAACATCCCTAACGAGAAAGACTTAAACACATAACATAAACAGTAACTAAATTAAATTTAAACTGCAAAAAACATTCGTAATAATTGCTTAATTTTCTATTTCTTCAAGTCTTCTGTCTATGTGCAACATGATCTATTTTAATTTTTGCAAAAACAGAGCAGAGAATTTGCAGAATTCTTGGCATCACAGAGCAATTTGACACTGATCCCACCATGTACACGTTGACATGTTTTAACTTGAAAAATCATCATAGAATTCTCAGCATCACAGAACAACTTGGAATTGTTCTCCATGTATGCACTGACCTGTTTTATCTGTAAAAAAAAAATCAGGGAATTACACTTATTCAGAGATTATAAAAATTTGAATTGTTTGAATTGTTAGACTAAGCTGTATACAGATTGTGTTCATATGCTGGTATGAAGCTCGGTGAGAGGTCAAATGTCTTGTATGAATACTCCGAGTTTGCTCAGATAGGAATTTTATCTTATGCAGAAAAGTTATTTTTGTTGTTTAACTTGTACAGGAAGAGGGAATTGATATTGTGGAGTTTTGGCTGAAATATTCAGATTTGGAAAACAGAAATATGCAATATTAAAAAATAATTAACTATGCTTTAACTTGCTTACATGGACCTGTTGTTGAAAAGTGATTTATTTATATGACTGATGTTCAGTCCAGGACGCCTATTCTACGAGTATGATCACTGGATCTGTCTACAACTTGAGCGAACAATATTGACTCAAAAGAACCGGTATGGACAGCCATCCCAACTTATCGGAGAAAGCCATTCTGTGGTCCTCAGTTGGAGGGCGGGTGGGTCCATTTAACTTTACTGGAGGGGACAAGGCTTCAAGGAGCTTTAGACCATCGCAGTACAGACGAGTGGACGAAATTTATAGCGCGCTGGCTGAAGTTTAGGAATATTCTTCCATTATTTCACTAACTCACACGCGCATTTGTAGTTCGAAAAAAAAAAAAAAACTGCATAAAACAGTATTATGACCAACAAGCAGTAGAATCTGCTGCTGGTATGTGAAAGAAAATCTCGTTTTTTAATGGGAAAGTTAACGCAGGAATTTAGAGCTAAGAAATAAAGAGTGATATGGGATACCACGAAGCAATGGTAAAGATAAGAGTAATGAATTAAGCTTACTTCAAATCCTTTTTAGAATAAACAATTTTAATATTTAAATTTATAATATGATTATTTACATACAATCTAATAGAAACTAAGTTGTTTTTTTTTTTTTTTTTTTTTTTTTTTTTTTTTTAGTCCAAAGGGATTTGAATCCCGAAGGACTATTATTTCGTTTTGGCATTTTGCGTTGGACATAAATGTCAGTTCACTTTCAACTGTTGCCATAAAGGTTAGAGTCCTGCATTATATTTGAAGAAATTAAATAATGAAAATCTGCGTAAATGTATGTATATTTCTCACATTGTCATAAAAATAACGGTACATAGAGTCATCGAATTTTGAATAACGTAATCCTCCAACGAATATGAGCATGTGGAAGACCAAATTTGAAATTTGAAATTTGTTTATGATCGATTTCCTATTTTTAAAACTTTGACGAATTTTTGATTAACAAACTCAAGGATTTCAAAGCGAGCATGGCAACGTTGTGCAGAAAAAAAACATTTTTATCTCCAGCGCGTCAGTCTCTGTATCGGAAATTCTAAAGATATGCTCGTTTTAAAACTATTTTGCGATATTGCTGTTGCACTGGATCTTATGGTTTTAAGTGCGAGGAACATGATATTTAATAAAGAAAGGTAACACACAAAATGTTAAAAAACCTCCTTTGGACGTAATTTAAAATCTGAAACATTTCAGATTTTTTTTTTTTTTTTTCCTCCATGTTTACATTAAAACGTTTTCCCGCAATTTATTTACAGTTACTATTCGAAAAATATTCTTTAATAGAAATTAGAAAGAAATATTTTTCTTAATATTTCTTCCCTTTTTTTTTCTTTTTCTATGAAAATTATTTTCTTCAGGAAAAGAAATAAAATTCATTCGCTATTACAGTATGGCCGATTGCTCCGCATTCATTATCACACACGCATCAAATGCTTGTTTTAATAATTTAATTCTATAATTAACATAAAGAAAATTTTTTCATATAAATACATAACCAAATTAAACTAATCTATCCATCTATCCGTATGTGTGATTAATTCGTTTGCAATTTTTGTCACACAATTACTAATACCTTTTTTCAATACTACATGCTGTGTTTTTAATTGTGTATATATAAGAACTGTTAGTTTAAATATCTTCCTTTCAAAGATTTTGTTCTGTGAAAATAATTAAAAGAAGAATATTTTTACAATGGAAGTACTAAAGTAAAAATAATCAGTGTAGGTCTCCTGCAGTTCAAGCCGTATCAAACCAGCGTTCGACACATTTTAAATAGAAAACTATAATAATCATATCTCTTTTACAAATATAAAAAATGCGAATGCTATGAACGGTATTTTATTATTTTATTTAATTTTTTAAGTTGCAAAGAAACAATGATTTTTTAATACTATAATAGGTTATAAAAGTACTATTCCATGAACAAACCCTCAGTCTTATAGCATAATACAATAATAATACAGTATAATTCTGCTAACAAGCCCACCAGCCGCCGAGTGGTAGAGTCGCTGAACGCAGGTAGTTTGGTCCGAGGTCCGAATCCCGCAAACGAGTTGGCCGGCGTTTTCGTGGCTTTCCCCATGTGTAACGTGTATACGAGCCAGTTTCCCTTAGAAAGTCCTCACTTAGAAACCAGTTTTAAAACGTATTAAAATTACACACACACATATACACCAAAAAAAAAAAAAAAAAAATGGAAAGCTTTCAGATTTTATATTACTCCCAAAGAGCCGTTTTATTAACGTTTTGCGTGTTACCTTTATTTATTAATATCATGTTTTTTCGCACTTAAACCATAAAAATTCAATTCAACAGCAATATCATATAATTAAAAAAAGCATATCTTTAGAATTTCCGATACATAGTCTCGCGCGCTAGAGATGAAAATGTTTTTTGCCATTGCTCGCTTTGAAATCGTCGGGTTTCTTAATCAAAAACCCATAAATGCTTTACAAAATATGATATATGAAATGGATAGTAATACAAATTCCCAGTTCCAAATTTGGGCCTCCAGATGCCTATATTAGAATGAAGGATTACGTTATTCAGAATTTCATGGCTTAGGTACCGTTGTTTTATCACAGCGCGAGAAACATTCATACATCTGCAGATTCCTCATTATTAATTTCTTTAAATATAATAGAGTGCGATAATACTTGGTGGCAACGATTGAAAAGTGAAACGCCATTTATCGTGAAACGCTACAAAATGGCAAAACGAAATTATAGCCCCTCTGGGCTAAAACTTATTTTTAAAAGTATCACACTAATAGTAGTACAACTACTGAAAAATAAAATAAATCTATTTTATAGTTTTATAATTATTATTATTATTAATTTTTATTTTACAGTAGTGTGAATTTCGCGCGTAATAATGAACGACATTTTTGTGTTCACGTATTATTCGTAAGGTATTTAACTGTTAGATTTTAAAGTAAACGTAATTCTTGTGCACATAAATCGAGTAGTAGAAGCTTATCGGATGTCTATATTTGTATTAAATGAAGAAGGTTTATGTGCTTGATAAACTTATTATCTTCTACATTTTTTAAAAGCGTACAATTACAATTTATATCTATAATTTCAGGAATAGTATAACCTTTCTTTTAGTAGAAATTGCGTTTTGTTTTCTGAATGTGGCTCCAAATACTCTTTCAGTTCATCCCAAATTAAAATAACTATAAATTTTGGCATCTGAAATACGCAATGAAAACATCTTTTGGCAGAGCAAAAGCATCAACATATTTCTATAAAATTCGCCACCGATTCAGAGATCTACGACCGTATTCTTCGTTTAAATATGAAAAAATCAGCGGCGAAAACACATATAAAGCCATTGTCTACTTAGTACGTCAACTGGACAACCCTGATTGACGACGCGGCAACATTTTTTCACGCGTTTTCGACAACTTCCGTACTCAGAGAATATAGGATGTCGGGCAGACCTGTTTTTTACTAGCAGCGACATCTGGCGGCCCACAACTTGCTGTCGACTCTCATAGCGTAGAATAACCAGTCCAGGGTTTCGAATTCTGGTGAATGAGCTGCTGCATGGATGTTTTCATAGCTTTCCTGATGTTTAACGTGTATACAAGCCACTTTCCCTTAGAATGCCCTTCACAAAGGCAACCTTTCCCTTAAGCAGATAGATAGCTTTACCATAATTAAATAAACCAATTCAAACCTATACGGGGGATATTGTAACAGAATGTAGAACATCCTTTAACACTGATAGTCTAGATGCTACACAAACTGTGCATATTACTACACAGTTCAGTGCACATTTATTATTTCATCACTGTATTATTTTTGTCTAGCAAAGGCTTCTGCTAGATTTTGGCCACACAATTTAATTTCTGTTGCTTTTGAATTCTGCTGCCCAGTTCTACTGCCTTCTTAATATTAAAAATGTTACTGCTCTGTGCAGTCATTACAGTTGTAATCGCCCCTTTGGCTATGGTGTCAACTTCTATTTTCACAGCAATTATATGTATTATGGCTTATTAAATAGTTTTAAAAACATTGATAGGGATGGTAGCCACTAGGTATTATTATCGACCTGTGCGTTTAGTGTTTAACTAAAAATAAATAACTTAAAAATACATTTTTGATAATATTGTTTAGAATTCTTTGTGGGACAGCCCAAAATTTTACTTCAAATGTGTAACTAGTAAATCTTAGTTATAAATGATGATTTTTATTTTTTTTTTCGATTCTAGGTCAGTCAAAAGTTTTTCTCCAGGTTTGGATTTCCTGGTGTTTATGGAGCAATTGATTGCTCTTTAATACCTATTTCTAGTCCTGGTGGTATAAGAGCTGAAATGTTTCGAAGCAGAAAAGGGTTTTTTGCTTTAAATGTACAGACTGTCTGCGATGCAGACCTGTATGTTCGAAATATTGTTGCTCGCTGGCCAGGAAGTACGCATGACATGACAGTTTTTAGCAATTCTTATGTTCGCGCAAAACTAGAAGCAGAAGTTCCTCCGGAGTACCATTTGATTGGTGATACTGGATATGGATGCAGAACGTATCTGTTAACACCATATTTGGATCCAACATCAGAAGGACAGAGAAGGTAATTATTTAATGTGTATCCTTTAATTAAATATGAAGTAATGAAAATTGTGAAATATGCTTAATACTTTTTTCAGCAGTTTATGTCAGAAACTTTTAAAATCTATTAAAACATAAAAAAGCATAAATTATATTGTAAATGAGATTTTTTGGGTACTTTTCCGTTTTGCCGGCGCAAACGAAAAAGTTGCCAATAATGCTACAACTGATGCCAAACGGAATATCTTCGCTGGTAACCTTTTACGCTTCATTTTCAAAACAAGTCGCAGCCATTTCTTATCAGATTGATTGTTTCTTTCAATACTGGCATACAATTACATAGAATTTTTGCAAGATAGTTAAATTTTATGCCCTAAGACCATTCGCGGTAATTAAGTCAATTAGGATGCAATCACCCCACTCACAGGCGAAAATATAGAAAGGCAAAATCAAGGGTTAAATTCATCCATTCTAATGAGAATGCACTAGCGAAGCAAAGCACTACGGTTTTACATAATTTCTGAGTAAGCTATTTGTACGAATTGAATAATTCTTGCATTTAAACTTGTATTCCAAATTAAGATTTAACTTGAAATTAATGTAGATAATTACTGAGAGAATTATATTTTTGTAGCGTAGTTTACGTGAGATGAGATCACTTGGGGTCACATAATAAGAACCGGAGAACCAGGATGTTGAACCATGAAAGCATAGTAAATTCTTAAATTAATGTCTTTTTACAAATTTATTGTCTTTATTTATTAGCTTTTTACACAATTTTAAACCATATCAAAAGAAAAAAAATCTTAGAAGTAACATTTTTTATGTGTATACTGTATGCTGTCGCCAACAAAGTCTGCTTGGCGAGATTTGCGCCGGCGAAACGGAAAAGTACCATTTTTTTTTTTATTAAATGTTTTGTGTCATGTAAAGGCATAATTTTTTTTTTTTTTTTTTTTTGAGATACCAAATACTCTGATAATATTAAGGTGCTAAAAATGCTGGATGAGGATCTAATTACTAGAAATTGCAAGTAATATACCACCAAATTCAGAGCATGTATTTGCATGATTAATTGAAATCATGTAATTATCCACATCAATTATCTACATTGCTGCTAAGACTTTTTAAATTCTTGTTATACATGTATACTGTAATTTCTTTCATTCATTTAAAAATGCTTTAAATATCTAGAAAGTTTTCCAATATATTTATTTAAAAATTTATATATAAGCTGAATTGCACGATTCAAGAGTAAATTGTATCGAATTCTTTGTTCTTCATATTCAGTATTTTTGATATTTTAATGCTATTTAACATTACGATGTTTTAGCATTAGTCAAAGAAAATTTTGTGGTAACTTACTATCAGATCAGAAATAATGGATTAATGAATTTATATTTTATCTTTATGTACATAGATAGCAGCTATAAGCTTAATTTCTGTCTATCTTTTACAGGTATAATAATTCTCACATATATGCTAGGAACACCGTAGAGCGGCAATACGGAGTATGGAAGAGGCGTTTTTCCTGCATTGGGTCAGGCCTCCGATGTAAAGTGGAAAATGCCATGACTATAATAGTAGCAACAGCTGTGCTACACAATATAGCTCTGCAAATGAATGATTTTTTTGAGGAAGATGATGATACAGAAGATGAAAATACAAATCCTGTATTTCAAGAACGAAATGTGGCAGGATTTGCAAAACGCAATGCAATTGTCAGAGAGTATTTCACATAATAATGTAAAAAGATTTTTTAAAAAATAATGCTGTTAAATAAATTTTTATATTATATTATAAATCTGTGTTTATGTAACTATTTTATTAATCTTTAATACCATGATACAGTAATACAAAAAGGGTTAAAAGTTCAACATTTAGTATATTTTAATCTGATGCTCATAGTGAAGAAATACCTAGTTTCTGACGATTAAATGAGCACATAGTGAATAGCAATACTGTAACAAACATATCTGCTATGAGTTTATAAAACTGAGTTTTGAAATATTTTTAAGGAGAATAATGATAATTTCAGTAATTCTAAGTATAGTTAGTAGACAATAAAATATTATTGGTGCATTGCTATTAGGTGAATTGTGGATTAAGAAATGAAATTATGTGAAACAGATACTTAAGATCATAAAAATGTAAAATATTTATTCTCCTATGTTCTGTTAATTTTAAGTTTGCAAACTTTATTAAACAGGTACTTAAAATTATTAGAAATATAAAATGCAATATACTTTACAAAATTATAAAGTGGTACTCCTCAGATACAGATTTCAACTGAAATTAATTTTTTAGGATCATTCTGTATGACAGCAAGTATATTTCTTTTAATTTCTAAGTCCTCTCTTTAAAATTTCCATTTTTAAAGTCATGATCTTCTTCTTTTTTCATGTCATGTTCTTCTTTTTTGTATTTCATTGTTAATTCATGTTCTTCTTTTCTGTATTCATTGTTTCATGTTGATTCATGTTCTTCTTTTTTTAATTTCATTGTTAATTCATGTTCCTCTGAGAGAAATTTCGATTTTAGTTCTGAATGTTCTACCAGAGCAGCTGCAGCTGCATTAGATGCTGGAGGCTGTCTTTTGGCTTTCCTCAGTAGTTTAGGTGTAGGCATAATTTTTGATGATTTATCAGCCTTCGTTTCTACCATTGGTGAATACATTTTGCCTTTTTGACTTCCTGATGCCTGTGAAGGAGAATCAGTAGCCTTGATTTGTGTTACAAAATCTAAGTTTGGCTCTTGCTGTTCATGTATGATTTCATTCATTTCTTTAGATCCATTTCCCAAGTTAGCCTGTTACATAAAATATTACACAGTAAGTAAAAAATACAAATACAGTAAAAAAATATGAAATAATTATTATTGGTACTCTTAATTATCGAAACCGGATTCGAAAATGTATGCATATTTGTATGGATGCATGTGTATGCATGAACGTATTATATACACATACAAGCGTACATATTTTCTTGAATCTGGTCCTGATAACAGAATATCTTATTATCTATAGAAAGTGCAGATTATAATCAAAACATTACATTCCACGCCTTTCGATTGCCACATGCAAGAAACAAAACTAAAATAATAATAATAATAATTAACTGACCAGGAAGGCATTAACTAAATAAAATTAAATGGAAACATTCATAAATTATAAACTTCACGTCACGTGAAATCCAACATTCTCCCACCAACAACAGCTTAACCACCTGCAAATATTAAACAGTAAAACTTTTAAAAACAAATACAGTATTTCAAAATTAAATTAAAAAAAAAAAAAAAAACTTCTGGCTATGCTAAACTTGCACTCATTACAAGCACCGAAATAAAGCTTTAATAGGCTTGCCACAGGAATACATATAGCCAGAAACCACAACCAAATCAAAATCGTGCCAAGTTTGGCGCTCACCCAGATTATCTAAGATTAACCAAAATTCTAAAACAGAAATAAAAAAAGACCATAATATCTAAGTAAGTCATGTTATGGTATATGTTCAGGCTAAGTCCAGGATTTTGCTGCAGGCAATGAAAAATGCAGTATGTAGTCAAATGCATGCTAAAATACAAAAATTTCCAGGTAAAGTGCAGAAACGCCCACTTTGGCACTTTTTACAAGAGTAAGAAGAATTGGATTTTTGTCAATTTTCTTTGACTTTTTAAGTGAAAATAGGTCGATGTGTAAATGGATAAAGTCAAGGAAGTGCACAATGCCATTTTTGTGCAATTCTGGGATTTTTTTTAAGTGAAAATAGGTCGATGTGCACATGGATACCGAGTGTGTGCAATTCTTAAAAATGCGCCAAGCAGTGGGCGATTCTGCACTTTCACCAAATTTCTGCAGTCACACTACCAAAAATGTATGGAGAAATAAAAAGCCATCTGGGGAAGGGTAACTAGCTTGGAACATAAGTACTTTTTGGCAACATGGTGCTTTCCTTCATCAATACATTTTCTTGCCTTTTCAATGTGAATTACAGTTAATAAGAAAGTACAAAATTTTTAGTATAAAATAAAAGTATTAAATTAATTCAGAGTATGACTTTTAACTTTCTATCATTGAAAAATGAGCTAAAATAACAAAACTTACTCTTTTTAAATCATCTGCATCTACTTCACAGTTTGAAATTGTGTACTCATCTGAAATATTAAAAAATATGCATGTTATATGTACATGATAGCATATCATTAATGCAATATAATGATTGAATAAAAACAAATTTTTAAAAAGAAAATTTTAATGAATTTATTAATATATGAATTATAGTACTGCTTAATTAATTCTAGTTAAAAATTAAAAAAGTAAACAATTTTAAATCTTCAAAACTGAATAATAAGATGAAGTATTAGATTAATGTTACTATATATAAAATTTCTTTCTATTTAAACTTGAGTTTCTGGGATATCTTATAATTGCCTGCATTATTTAAAACAATTGTGAAGTGTTATTAAAAATGTATAGAAACAACTAGTTTAAGAAAATAGAAATGTGTTAAATCTTCTAAGACACTACTAGTATCATCCTTGAACAAAACGTTCATTGCAATGGGCGCCTGGACTGGAGTCCTATCCCAATCGATGTTATGTCACTTTTCAATCATTATTTTCATAAGGTGCGTGAAGGCATATCGTGATGAAAAGCAATAATTAAAGGCAATAGTCTCTTATGGAAAGAAGTAAAATCTTGAATTTACAATATGACATAATGTGAAATAAATCAGCCAAGCATTTTGATACACATGACTTTAACATAACAACAAATTCTATTACAGAAACACAGAATTTTTAAAATTCAGTAAACTTTCAGATTTAAGTAACAGAGTGTATTAATAATTAATATGTTTTCATCTGATATTCTTGAAAAATATTGTGGAGTGACGGTATGGCTTGTGGAACGTTTCCTGTATTACTTCACTGGTCTTTTATGCAAGGTGGAAAATATCAAGACATTGGATGTGATAATCAGATTATCAATAAATAAATCTGACCTTATTATTGCATATAGCACAAAATTATATTGGCCAAAACAATATTATACAAACGTACTACTTGAAAATTGAATCTCTTGTATTTTACAAACACAGTGTAACAGAATTCATTAAATACAGTGAAAAAAGGGCTTATCTTTATATCCTAGGATTTTTGCTACATAAAAATTTTAACTTTTTAAGTTGCACTGTAATAAATCAAGAGTGGTCTAACATATTTACTGTAAGTAGATGTATATGCCACGTTATAAATGTGTTTTTACATCTGTCTAATTTTCAGTACATGGTACAGTGACAATTAACTCGGTAAACAAATGAAAGAGTTAAAACTGGTATATAGTATATCATCTCATACAAAATTGCATATTTGCTGTTTAAAACATGGTTAACAAAACCAAGTTATCTCATTCAAAATTGCATATTTGCTGATTAAAATGTGGTTAACAAACAGCTCTAATATTTCTTTTTCCATTAAAAACTTTTGATGTGTTAATTATTTTAGCGTAATAGATTTAGATTTTCTAGCTGAAGTGCTAAAATCATGAATTAAATTAAGCAACATATTTTTAACCTGTATACGATGAATAAAAATATGAAAAAGCAATTTTTTACCAGAATAGGAAGTTTGCATATGATATAAATGGTCACTATCATACACATTCTCCAGTGATTGCACCTGTGGCGAGTAATGTTTCATCAATATTATAGTTTTCATTAGTTACAGCAGGGCCGCCTCCAGTTCGAAAAAGTTCTATCCGTTTCTTCCGCTTTCTCGTTTCGTGGCTTTTCTTTTCAAATTTCTATAGCAATTATACAATTGTGTTGCAGTACGTACTGTAACTCCCGGAATGCTGTTAAATTCTTTTTCGATCAAATCCCACGTATTTTTTTTTTTTTCTCTTTGTTAGTTACTGAATTAGTAACTTTATTTTCAATTATATGGCGGTATTTTAAAACGCATTCTGCTAAAACCGCTTTCTCGAGCGAAGTATAGTTTTGCCTATTGGCATCAGCCATGTTTGTTTATAAGCATACAACGTGCCGTCAGAATTCAGCTTTGAAAACTGCAGATTATGCCGTAAATGTCACATGAATACTTTCAACCAATGACAACGCTTCTTACAAATAATCCAGGTATCTCTCTTGAATCACGTAATTCAGTAATGGAGAATACCAAATGTGCTAACCATAGCTCAGACTGTGAGTTACCACTGATACATGGATTCTGATACATGAATTAACCAGCTGTTGGTGAATACGGGGGTAAAACAGGCATAGAAATAATGGTACTTATGTATTATCGCAACTAGGTTGGCACGATTTGTAAGTTTGAGTAAAAAAGTATGAATAGAAAGAAAATGTATATTTATTAATTACAGATAATTTTTACAGTTTTTATATTATTTGTTTTAAAAATATAAAATAGCAATTAAACCCTTCCGGTTTCGAATTTGAATAAGTTGCAGAATTATTTTTTCGGCGGAAATCTTTTGGCTATTGCTTTTAGCACTGATTGAAAACCGTCTTCGCCATTAACAGCTTGAGCTTGGCGCCATATAAATTCAATAAGGTATGAGTCAAGATGATGACGGCCTGTTCCTCTCCGTTTTTTGTTGCGCCATTTGGCTGAGCCCCACATGCGCTCTACATGTTGTGTGTGAACGCTCATGTTGGGATCCACAAAGTTATATTTGTGATTAACAGTTCCATGAAGAAATCCAGCATGTTCGAACTCACTTGTATTGTATCCTTTCCAGCAATCCGAATAAATGATGCTTCCTTCCTTGATATTTTCGCAAATTTTTTCCATGAGGGTAACAGCGCTTCTGTTAGGTACAGTAACCAAAAAAGTTTCTTTCTTTTCTCGGCAAATTCAGCCGAAAACCCATTGCTGTGGTAGTACACGCTCCATAACACGTAGGGTTGCCAAATTTCGCGATTTATGCGAATTTTGGCCTGGTTGCGTTAATACATAAGTACCGAAATAACTCTTAATTTTTTTTATGCTATTCACATTAATTGATTTAGCTCAATTTAACTGCAAAACAAATATTAGATGCTTATGCTTTATGAATGTGATGTCATACCTCGATTGTAGCGTTCCCACCTGAGGTGAAGAGACAGATGGGAATGGCATATTAACCCATGCCCTTTGATTTATATATTTTATATAGATTCATTTGTTAATTAACCTGTAAATAGTGTATTATTAAACATTTATCTTAATCAAGCTTTGAGTTAAGTATCAAAATAGATACAGTGCTTAAATACAGAATTATGATTTGACACAGAACAGTTTCATTTCGATCCATCCCTCGTTTCACGGTGCATCCTGTGAGGCGGGAATTGAGATTATGAGGAAATGGTATAATGATATTTCAAGAATTACTTTCAAGGAATCGTGTATGTCAAAACTCAAATGCTATCAAAAAGACCTGAAAAGGTAAGCATATTTATTTTTTTATTTACAATGCAATTGGAAAATTTTGAAAAAGGGCTCAAACTTATCAATAAAACAGGTAAGAATATTAAAGAAAATAAGCCCATGAGTAATTTAGCTGAATACTACAACTGAAAATATCAAACTAATAATTATACAATGAAAGAAACAGATTAAAAAAATTTTGATGTGGAAATTAACTTTGTCGAACAGAGTCCATACACATTTCTGCACATGGAAATTAAGTACTTTTAAGGGCCATTAACCTTCCAGCGGGCGCGCCTTCTGCACTAACAAGAAAGGTCGCGCGTATTTCTTAGATACGCTATTATAAAAAATAAATTTTCCAGAGCAAAAATATTAAAATTAGCTTGTAAATAGTTAAATGTTAATAAGTACAAATGAGTTAAATAATATTAACTTTAAATTAAGGAAAATAAAATAAGTATAAAGGAAAAAAACAATATAAAATGGACTAAAGACTTATCAAACTAACTTGAAAGTAAAACAAAATTAAACTGCCAATATTTCAATTGAACTTTTATATTTTTAATCAGTAAGTGAAAAACATATTAAATATTACATAACAAATCAATTTCATAGTCACTTCATTGCATCGGTGCAGTCTGAACAAATATGTTTACAGTGCTCTAGACAAATGAATTTTAAACAAATCTCACAGCTGAACCTCGTAATTCCAGTATGCTTGTCATTTTGGCAGGGTTTGCATCTTTTTTTTCCTGAAGTCATTTCTTACACAACAGCTAATTCTGCTTTTCGTTTCAACAATTTAAATTTCAGCTCACTTTGAAGAGAGTTAGGGATTCTTCTTTCAATTTAAATTTCAGCTCACTTTGAAGAGAGTTAGGGATTTTCTTTCAAGTTTCCTCACAAGAGCATTTGCTAGCTTTCGCAATATATTACCTTCTAAGCAATTTTTCACTATTATTCGTTGAATGAATTATGTAGCTGTTGATTGCTGCTATATTCAGCATAGAGAAGAAAACTACAAGAGGCCAAGCGCCTGGTGTTTCCTGGCAACATTGTAGGAAGCACAGAGTTTATCCACTGTATCCACACCTCCTTTGGTATTTGGTACGATTGTAAAATGTGATAATCTCAGGCTTTTTTTGGGGGGGGTCTTGGGTATTTTTCATCTATTGCTACGTCATCATGAAGACTTGAAATCAAGATGACGTTTGTATAACGTTTGGGTACATAGGAGAGAAGTGTCATATTTTTTCTAAATCCAAAAAGACTCGTATTGGGTTCCCGAGTTTTCACCAGCTTGAACTGATCCGGAATTTGAGGTTTATTGTTTTTCAAAGTACCTACAAATGAAAATCTTTTTCATCTATTTCTCGTACTAACTCAAAACTTGAATACCAGTTGTCTGTGGTTACATTTCTTCCAGTGTTATCAATAGGTTCTGTCAACCTTTTTACAACATCTTGTGGTTTGTTGCTTACGTAAAAAGACAATCTGTAACATTCTCTCCAAGTGAATAGCTCTTCTGGCAATTAGAGACAAACTTTTCAAAAATGTTTCTTATTGGAGCCAAGCGGTCGACTTCTCTTCGTTCTGCTCTTGTGTTTATGTCATCAAACCGTAAAGCTCTTAGTAAAAACAAAAATCTCTTCAAGTTCATTACTACTTTAAATTCCTCCATTCTCCACAGTTCCTCAAGATTCCAGAAATCTGTTACCATGATAAATACCAGCTAAGTAAAGTAAGCCCAAAAAAGCTTATTTCTGCTGTCCCTTATACGAGAATAATTAGACTTCACAGAAGAAATACACTAATTTGTATCTTCAGCAATGATTTCTATCAAACTATCAGTAAAGAGGCATTTCCATATATCCAAAATATCTGTTAGATATTTAGCTTTACCGATGACTCCAGAAACATGAACACATATGTTACGAGGCCCTCGTTTAGTTTTCTTTTTATGCCATGTCCAAGAATCGATGATTTTTCTGTTTTTCATTTGATAAGCTATATACAATTTCGGAAGAATTATCATCGCATTATGTCCCTCTTCAGAATTGCAATCTGCACTTATCTTCTAATTCTGAATCACCTTTTTCTGAAATTCGCTCTTCTTCATCTGCAATGCTTTCATCTAAAATAATGTCCTCATCACTGTCACATAAAAGCATATTTCTTATAATCTCAAGATCCTTCGTATCATTCATGTCGAGTATTTTACTTTTATTCGCCATAACTGAAAAGAAAAGAACAAAAATATCATACATGGTCGCGCGTATGTGACGCATACAGTGCTTCTATTTTATCATTAAAAGTAATTATGCACAAAAATTATACAAAATTATAAGATTTAGATGCAAAAGAATAAAGATTTTCTATTATAAAAAAGGAAATTAGATATAGCAAAAACTTACTTCAACGGTCGCGCGTATTTCTGGAATACAAATAGTAAATCTGCAGACTCGCATTAACCCCTCAAAATCCAGCAGACGACTGAAAGAAGGGTGAACGAAGAGGAGAGAATAGCCAAGAACACGCGGTCATAGCGCCTTCTGGTCTACGAAAAAAATGCAAAATTAAAATCTAGTGTATGTCACACATACGCGCGCCCGCTGGAAGGTTAATGAAAAAATTAAGGGCCTATGAGAGAATGGGAACTGAATAAATTCAATTAAAACTATTATCTATGCCTGAACTTCACTTTTGTAATACCATCCTAAAAATAAAATAGATCCGTAAGTAGGATGCATTATTATTAAACATAACTTAATTAACATAATTATTAATAGGTTTGAGAATAAAATAAACTTTATTTACACTTGTAATAATTGGACATATTTGAAAGAAGATAAGTGACATTTTATTTAGTTTTTAATAACAGTTAGCTTTGTGTTAATTTTTTGTTTTAATGTCTCATTTTGTCATATACTTGCTCAGTCTAGTAGTAAATAGTACGTAGATTTTATGTCAAGTGGCATAGGTTAAAATGAGAAGTAAAATCATACTCAGATCGATTAAAAACAAAAGACGCTGTTATCACTGCTCCTGCTTGCCTAGAGAGACATGCTGATCAGAACAAACCTGAAAGGCCTGATGGTTTGCAAGTTTTGAAAGTTAGCTGGGCTATGTCTGACGCAGTTAGTGTCATAGCTTTGTGTAGAGTTCCAGGGGGTGTAACTCAGTTAATATACTTTAAGGTTCTAATAATCAACTAAAGCACCAGAGATGATAAGTTGTTTTGCATTAAGTCTCACTAGATGCGAAGAATAGGTTTTACAAGAAAATTTTTACATTTTTGTGTTTTATCTTGTGACACGGTAAGAGTTAATGAAAGGCAATAACTCGCTAATATGCAGAGATAATTTTTAAGGGTAAGCAGTTAGTTGTAAGTAGTTAAATTAGGTATTAGATAACCTTAATCATTATGTATTTATACATAATGATTAAAGGCACTATTAAATTTAATTTATTTATTAACAATATTTCTTAAAAAAGCCCTATTAAAATCACAAACTAATAAAATTTCGGTAAAATCCTAGTATACGGTGCAGCCTTGGCGTGATTTTGACAATTATCGCCAAAACCAAAAATGATCCAAAGAACGTCGCTATTTTGAAAATTATCGCTAACACCAAAAATGATCCAAAGAACGTCTATATACTATACACTATATACTATGTGTGTACATACATAATATATACTATATGTATTCTTTGAATGATCTGTTTACTACTCATCGTACATGTCCCAATTTTACTGCTCATCATAAAGTCGCCAAAAGTAGCCAAATCCCGTGTGCACCAGATACTAGGATTAAACCGGATACTAGGATACTAGGTACACAGTTCAAAATACATGTAATGGATAACATTGATTCTTAAAGGATAGCAGGATAAGAACTTGATGAAGAGTAATTTCTGCAAGAGTTAAATGAAAATGGCGCATTTACCTATAAACACGTGATCGGCCAGGAATCTACCAGCATAAAAACAGCAAATGGGCATGTAAAAAAATACATATGCAAAACTAATTTTCATATTTAATAATAAAATATAAGATGTACAGCAAACACTCAACAGAGAAATAAAAATTTGTTTTTTTAATGGATAAAAACCTGAAATTTCGCCAAGTGCCGGTTACGGAAAAATCCCCAAATTAAACAAGCAAAATGGGTAAATTTAGAAAACATGGTATCTAATTAAATTCATAGGAGAATTATATAGCACACTCACAGATCAACAACACCCTTCTCTTCTGCCACAGTTCCAGATTTAAGAATGAGCCGATGACGCGAAATATCTTGGCGAGAAAGTTGGCGAGAAAGTTCCCTTTCCCTTGTGAAGATGTCCTGCAAACAACGCATTCCCTCTGACTGAACGTTAGAATTTTGTGGTCTGTTGTACTTTTTAATGATTTTTAAACATTGATTTCGATTTAAAATGGAAGATTGTTATCTGGGCTTTGATTTTAGCACTCAACAGGTGAACCTTTTATTATAATTCTTAATATAAATATTAGTATTGGAGGCTTTTAATATTTCTCAAAGATTTTTAAGTGGAAAAGAAGGGAAGAAAGAATTGACTTTTACGCTATGATTTAATAATGTCATTGTTCTATTTATAAAACTGATAGGTAATAAAACATGGTAAATATTTCATCTTCAGGAAACTGCCTTTCATCTGTAATATTTACGTGATTTCATAGCTGTTTAAATTACCAGTTATTAAGTTTCATGATTTCGTATATAACAGAAATTTCAAATTACGTTACATGAATTTTCCAGTTATTATTATTTCTGAGTGATATAAACACTGGGGAAAGTGCAGAATCGCCCACTGCTTAGCGCGTTTTTAAGAATTGCACATACTCAGTATCCATGTACACATCGACCTATTTTCACTAAAAAAAAATCCCAGAATTGCACAAAAATGGCATTGCGCACTCCCTGTACACATCGACATATATTCACTTAAAAAGTAAAAGAAAACTGACAGAAATACATTTCTTACTCTTGCAAACGCCACACAAATAAGTAGACGATTCTGCACTTTACCCCTAAACACTTGTAAATAGGTGTCCAATGAAACCATATTTAAATATATCAGTTTTGTGCAATCCGAGTGCTTTTCTCCTTTGTATATATAGTTGTTTTACCATTGTTAAGATTTTTGTATTAATTTGAACATGACTGTGTTTAACCCATATAAGGTGAAACCATGTTAGTGTTTGACATTTCATATTCTAAATTCTTCGGAATCTCTCTGTACATCATTTTGCCTCTGAAACTGCACACAGACATGTTTTCAATGGAAGAAGATTTGCTATACTTCTTTATATATTGTGTGTAATTATTACTTTTTTAGTATGAACTTTCATAATATTTGGAATTCTGTTTTCTAATTTAGTACTTGTAAATGAACTGATGCATCATGAACTTTCATAATATTTGGAATTCTGTTTTCTAATTTAGTAATTGTAAATGAACTGGTGCATTTAAATTATGCTTGCAACATTCATATGTACAGCTGAGAACACATTGCATGTTCCATTAAAATATTGGAGTTCAGCACTGGGATTAATATAATGTATCAAAGAATTTTCTTTTTTGAGAAACCTTACTTTATTATGGCATTTGTAATAATTATTATGTCAAATTTTAGAAACTTAGTATAAGTATATTTTATGTGAATAATTTTCAACTATTGTATGTGAATTATTTTTAATTACTGCTTTGTATGTTTGTACTTTTATGTTTAGCTGAAAGCTGTGGTTATCAATGATAAACTCAAAGTAACACATCAGGCAACTGTTAAATATGACATTGATCTTCCCGAGTTCAGGTAAAATATTCTTAATTATTTTTTTTTATTTTTTACAAGTTCCTTTGCTTCATCAGTCACAAATATGTTGCATATTTCGTTTTTGAAATATGTTGACAAAATAATTAATATTAATTTATAATCAATTTTTAAGAAACATAATTCAATATACTCAACATTTTTATGGCCAGTGCAGGCACCTAAAACATGGTTTTGTCATTTGTTCTATTGTAAGTGATTTTACAATTAGTGGTCAAATCCTAGTATACGGTGCAACCTTGGCACGATTTTTAAAATTATTGCTAGCACCAAAATGACCCATTTATTACTCATCGTATATGTCGCATTTACTGCTCATCATAAAGTAGCCAAATCCCATGTGCACTGTATAACTAGGATTAAATCGAATTAGAATGATTCAGCTTCAATCTAAATATGTTTTCAGTAAGTTAGTTCCATTTTTAATATTTCTTAATTATAGCAATATCTGTAGATTATGTTCAAACATGCTGTATTTAATTAAAAAAAAAAGTAGAAAATTAAAAAGCATTTAAATAAGCATTAAAAATATTTTATTCATAGAAATGTAATTGAAAATTAGAAAAATTTAAGTGATTTTCGTTGGAGTTAATTTTGGATTTAAAAGTATTTGCACTGTAATTCTCCTCTATGGAAGTTTTATGGGTACTATTCCGTATTGAGGACCGTAAAAAATCGCCAAACTATTGTTGATGCCAGTGCTGCCAAAAATAATTGCGGCAACCCTAACGCAAGAAAGGAAGTATATTAGTAAACAACTATGTAAGATTATTGGGCTAATCTTTGGAATATGGTAACAGGTAGTTTGGCGACATTTTGGTAAGGTGATAAAGGTTACTAGTTAGGACTTAAGCAGTGTACATGGATAAAGTTAAGAGTGTGCGCAATGCCATTTTTGTGCAATTCTGGGATGTTTTTTTAAGTGAAAATAGGTCGACGTGTACATGGATGATACCGTGTATGTGCAAGTCTTAAAAACGCGGCATGGAGTGGGCAATTCTGCACTTTCTCCCAATTTCGCACCTGATCTTTGTCATGATTAAGCACTTTTGTTCCATAAAAGTTCTAGCATAAGAGTAATTCGGCTAGCAGATTGTTGGAAAAAAAATGTTGAGTTAAAAAAAAAAAAAAAAACATGCCTTTACTTAGTGAAAACAAAATGGCATCCAAAAAAAAACTAATAATGTCATATGACATTAATGGATGAATTACAGTAACGTACAGTAACGAAGTAAACGTGCATGGAAGTAATTTAAATATTTGACACTAAGTATTTGTAACCATTTGTAATGTTTGCGGTATGAATTCGTTAGTGACGTTTATAGTATAATAAATAATTTAGAGGTAAAAGTTTTTCGATATTTTATTTATTTTATACGTGGAAATGTTCATCCTTGGAAAGGGTATATACTTTTTCGCGATCACGTAATTTCATATATGTGCTTTTTACCGAGTTTAAAGATTCACAGAATTTTTTTGCATTTTCGTGCAAATTTTTGTAATTTATGAGAAAATAGCAGTGTAGATAGATAAAGTTAAGAGTGTGTGCAATGCCATTTTTGTGCAATTCTGGGATGTTTTTTTAAGTAAAAATAAGTCGACGTGTAAGTGGTTTATGTGTATGTGCTATTCTGAAAAACGCGCAAGGAGTTTGCGATTTTGCACTTTTTCCCAATTTTGCAGTGAATATTTGTCATGATTAAGCAGTTTTGTTAGATAAAATTTCTAGTATAAGTGTAATTTGGCTAGTAGATTGTTGGAAAAAGTGTTCAGTAAATAAAAATAAAAGAAACATGTCTTTACTTCGTGAAGACAAAATGGCGACGAAAAAAAATAGAGGGTTGCTGTAGCAGAGTTGGTCGCCAAATTTTCGCGAAAAAATCGCCAAGTTACCATAATCCAAGGATCAACCCACCTTTGTTTAAGACGCTCGTGTGGGTCGGAAGGGAATCGAAGGCAGTCACCGTACGGGACGGAGGTTTTGCATCTATAAGCCTAATTTTATAAAAAAAGATTAGAAAAAAAAAAAAAAGTTTCGCTTCTAGCATCATAATTTTTTGTATTCTTTTAGATTATTACTTGAGCTCTTATATATGTTAAAATTAGCACTTAATAACGTTTTTTTCATTATTTTACATGAAAATATGCTTAAAAATTGCTTGTCTTGTAAAAATAATTTTCGTAAACGCTATTCAAATTATTTAAAAGTTTTAATTCATAAAATCCATCAATAACGTTTTAAATTAATAAAACAACACAATAAAGACTATTTACAGTAAGAAGTAACAAAATTTTAAAATGAAGACTGTGGTAAATCTCGAAGTACGGAGCAGTATCACTTTCTAACTCTTAGAAAAAATATCACTTTCTAGCTCTTTAGAAAATGAATCATCACTCTCATTTGCGTTAATAAATAGTTCATTGACCATATGAGGGTATTCTTCCTCTGATAAATAGCGCCTTTCTGCTATAATAGACTGGAGGTGAGACTTTCAGAAAATAAAAAAAGGAATTGGATATAAATCAGACACGCGAATGTTTTCATTAGCACGCAGCGATTTAAAGAGTTCAACTCTGTTTACGTTTTCCCTCTCCCCCCACCCTCGCAAGAGCTGATGAGTAAAATACCAAAGTCAAGCAGAATATATCAAACTCAAGGTCAGGAACTTAAAAGTGTGTTCATTTCAAAAGTAATGGACATAGGATGCCATCTAGTGGCCTTCAGAAAAACGTTCCAGCTTAAAATGTGCATATGCATCACCCGTCCTCTGAATGCAATCTGCAATCTCTAGCGATGCACGGATGGGATGCCCGGTTGTAAGAGACGTTCTTAGGGAATGCGTATATGGGACGCACGTCCTGAAAGGGTTAAGGAGAGGAAAACTTTATTTTTGAAGGAAACTGGCCCAAATTTATATTACACATTGGAAAAACCACAAAAGCTCAGTAGCTTTAGTAGGGCTATTAATTTTGTTTTGGCATTTTGCTTCAAAAACTTTAGATGCCCGTTTTACTTTTCAGATTCTTGCCACCAAATACAAGTATTATCGCCCTGGGTTATAATTAAAGAAATTAAATAAGGAAGAATGTGCATAAATGTATGTATGTTTCTAGAATTGTGATATAACAACGGTATCTAGAGCCATCAAAATATGAATAATGTAATCTTCCATAGAATATGGGTATGTGGAAGCCCTAATTTGAATTTGAAATTTGTTTTATTGTCAATTTCATATTTTGTAGTACTTCAACAGATTTTTGATTAACAAACTAAACAATTTCATAGTGAGCAATGGCAACACTGTACCAAAAAAAAAAAAAAAAAAAAAATTATCTCCAGCGTGTGATATTCTGTGTTGGAAATTCTAAATATATTCTCATTTTAAAATTATTTTGCGACATTGCTGTTGAACTGAATTTTATGGTTTGAGTACATAGAACATGATATTTAATAAATAAAGGTAACACACAAAACGTTAAAAAAAAAAGGCCCCTTTGGATGTAACCTAAAATCTGAAATGCTTCAGATTTTTTTTTTTTTTTTATTTTTTTGAAATTTTAGGAAATAATTATTCTGTGCTGAGTTACTTAATATAATATATGGCATTAGAAACGTCTTTTATGCATTTTAACAGTGGTGTGAATATTCATAAAATGATCAGTTGAATATGTTGTAAACTATAGCAGTTAGATGTTTAAACTAAAAGTTGCAAATTATTAAGTAGTATATATATGTATTGCTTTTCAATCAGTCAGTCTGCCCTGATTATTATGGTGGTTGGTGGTGCCGCATCCCTTAGCATTGGTACGTGTTACGAGGGTAAGATTAAAGATTGATATCTTTATGCAGTAAATTTTTAAGCACTCTGGCAGAGCAAATATATTAAAATAGGGGAACACTAATGAAAAATGCATCAGACATCTAAGGAAGTTTTTCTCAATCATTTTTCTGCAGTATATAATTTGGTAACCCATTTTCATAAATTAAATATTATTCAAAAACTAAGTCCAGTATTAAGAATCGGCATAAATTACAAAAATTTTTTTTGCAGTGCTAGTTTCGATAGTTTTTTTAACTACCTTCTTCAGCTGCTAAGTGCAAATGAACCAAATAAAGGGTGAAGAAAGATAAGTTGGACAGAAGTTAAGCTACCAGCATCATCTCTCTATTGATGAAACAAGAAAACTAAAACAAAATTTCTTTAAAGGCTGAAGGTAGAGATGAATTGCAATTGTTTATATTAACTAGAACAGAAATGTGTTTTTGGATGTGAAACGCTTCTAAAACATCTAATTCATGAATGGAGGACGTTTTCTGAATAATTTCGGCTGTAGAAAAATGGAAATTGTGATTTTTCATTTTAACAATGCTGAGCAACAGTAGATTTCTGTGTTTCCTTTTTCCTAACACATGCCTCATGTTCTTTAACATGAAGTTTTAAGGCTCTTTTTGTTTGACCAATGTAAATTAAACAGCAATTGGTGATCATTTCCTTTTTCCCCAAGAGGAGTTTATAGACTTGATTAAGATCGTTGTCAGTTTGTAAAGCAAAAGCAGTAAGTAATCTAGGAGAATTTGTTTTTTTTTTTTGGTCTAGACGCTAAATATATTAAACCTGGTGACATTCTTACAGTTGTATTATACCTTGTAGCTGAATCATAATATTTGTCCAACTGCATGGAAGATAATGTAATATAGCATTGCAGTATCCAAACACAAAAATATTAAGCTATATGCATTTCTAGCTTCAGTTACAATACTATTGTATAATTATTTATATATATACATATGAAATAATAAATGCAAGGAAACGCCGGAACACTGCTGATGCGTACTTGGATCCATATTGAAGAATTCTGATTGCATAGTATGCTAACATGTTGACTTGGTAATATCTAAAGAACTTGGCAGTCGAGGCGGTTTTAATTCCATTTTCATTATCCAATTGATATTTGTTGCCTCAGTTCACCTGGCACTTGAG